CAGTCCAAAAACATGCTGAGGTTAATTGGAGTTACCAAAATGCCTGTGTGTGTGTGTGTGTGAGTGAGTGAATGGCGTGTGAGTGTGCCCTGTGACGGGTTGGCATCCCATCCCGGGTTGTCACCTGCCTTGTGCCCTGTGATGGGTTGGCGCCCCATCCTAGGTTGTCACCTGCCTTGTGCCCTGTGATGGGTTGGTATCCCATCCCGGGTTGTCACCTGCCTTGTGCCCTGTGATGGGTTGGCGCCCCATCCTGGGTTGTCACCTGCCTTGTGCCCTGTGACGGGTTGGCATCCCATCCTGGGTTGTCACCTGCCTTGTGCCCTGTGACGGGTTGGCATCCCATCCCGGGTTGTCACCTGCCTTGTGCCCTGTGACGGGTTGGCGTCCCATCCTGGGTTGTTCCCTGCCTTGTGCCCTGTGACGGGTTGGCACCCCATCCCGGGTTGTTCCCTGCCTTGTGCCCTGTGATGGGTTGGCACCCCATCCTGGGTTGTTCCCTGCCTTGTGCCCTGTGATGGGTTGGCACCCCATCCTGGGTTGTTCCCTGCCTTGTGCCCTGTGACGGGTTGGCATCCCATCCTGGGTTGTTCCCTGCCTTGTGCCCTGTGACGGGTTGGCACCCCATCCTGGGTTGTCACCTGCCTTACGCCCGTAGCCCCCGGGATAAGCTCCGGACCCCCCGTGACCCCAAATAAGATAAGCGGTTACGGAAGATGGACAGAAGGATAGATGGGTAAATTATCCCTGAATTATTCTGAGTGACTCCTTTCGCAAGTCCCCCCCCCCACCCCGGCTCGACTGGACCTGTCGCTGAAGGCGAAAATGATTTAAAGTGCAAATATTTCCCTTAGTTCTATATATGGAGCACAAAATGCTTTGATAACAATATTAATGTAATAGGCAGAACTGCACCAATATTATCACTGGCGTGTTTCCAAGCGCTGCAACCAAACCCCCATCCACTGAGGTCACACAGAGGAGTCCCTTGACAGCCGTCATGCAAGCTAACTAATGTGACTTAGGAAATAAATGTGGCTGAAATCTGTGACTCTGTGTGTGTGGATTCTGCAGGATCCATCCAGCTGCTACAGCATATTTCCCACAAGGCAAAGACCTACATTTGGACTAAATGGCGTCTAAATTGTCTGTAGCATGTTTGGCCCGTGATGGACAGGCGTCCCACCCGGGGCGTACCCCAGCCCCGAGCCCTGTGACGGACTGGCGTCCCACCCGGGGCGTACCCCAGCCCCGTGCCCTGTGACGGACTGGCGTCCCACCCGGGACGTACCCCAGCCCCGAGCCCTGTGATGGACTGGCGTCCCACCCGGGGCGTACCCCAGCCCCGTGCCCTGTGAGGGACAGGCTACCACCCGGGGCGTACCCCAGCCCCGTGCCCTGTGAGGGACAGGCTACCACCCGGGGCGTACCCCAGCCCCGTACCCCAGCCCTGTGAGGGACAGGCTACCACCCGGGGCGTACCCCAGCCCCGTACCCCAGCCCCGTGACGGACAGGTATTCCAGGCAGCCCCTTGCCGCCCTGAACAGGGTAAATCGATGCATGTGCCTGAAATGTATTTTCTGCCATTTATGCAAAATCTATTGACTTTTTAATTCAACGAGCCTTAATGAAATGAAACCAAAATGTTAAATTTGCATGATTGTTTCCAGTAAAGTCGTTTTTTTTGCAGGCACCTTGTTGTAAGTAGGCCTACATGACCTTAGGTGACCTTCCTGTCAGCCCCTTTTGTTTATGTTCACCACAAAGGACTGACAAGTGTAATGGGCTTTCTTGTGTTCTGCAGCTGGTGTTGCTCAACTTAAACCAGTTATAAAACATTTATACAGCCTGGGTCGGCTCCAAGAACACACAGATCCTATAACGATACTGGCAACAGAAGGAAATCAAGAAAAACAGCCTTCAGAAATACGATTAGCTACAGATCGCATCATAAGAATAAAGGAGTCCCCTGACATTGCTATGGAAACCAAAAATGGCAAGTCTTTGGAAAAGGCATCAGACGTGGATTCTGCTTTTACATCCACAGAAAGTGGTTCTCTTGCCATTTACATGCATCCTCATCTCATGCCTCGGTAAATAAGCTACATGAGTTTTGCTATGACTAAGAAAGTGCGTTGGACCCATTTTTAAGCATTAAAGACTCGTTATCTGTTCTGTGGGATTGGCAGCCATATTGCTGCTCAACAGAATACGACAGTCTGTCAGTTAACATGGTTTTAAATGCTTAAATGCATATGAGGTGTCTAACAGCAGAAAACCCTTAGCACCCGGTACCTGCAGAGCCACAAACATTTCAACAGAAAAAAACTTCACTCGTGAGTGAGCAGCGATCCTTTTGCTAAGAGGGACACCTTTGACAGGAGCTGTCACTGCCCATACCTTGGAACATCGACACACATCATCTCTTACTGTTGATGAGAGTCCTGCAAACATAGGAAACGCAGTAATTACAGGGAGCCTGCAAGGCCGGACCTGCATCAACGCACTCAGGGTGACAATCCCCTGGTCTGGAGTATTTATGAGAAAACAGATGGCAAGAGTTCAACAAAACCCACCACTGTCTGATCACTCACTTTGGTAATTCAGTTGTTGCTCATGATGTGCCAACACAATGGGCCAAACCGTTACTCTTAAAGGAAAAGACCAGACAACAATAAAAGGGAATGAAATGTCAGTGCCTGACACAGTAAATCATTGCTATTCTGACAGGGGAGCTTGAGTTAACATTCCACATGCCCCATTTATCAAAAAATAAAACATTTTATATGTATCAAAATTAACTGCACGCATACTTTACATTTCAAGACTGCAATAAACCCATTACACAGGCAGAACAACAGTGCAGGTCCCAGAGGAGTGGGAAAAATATTGTAATGCAATCTCTTGTTTTTGTAGCGTGCCGGATGAAAAGAGAAAGGGATCACTGGAGAAAAAAGATAAGATGCAGACATTTCTCAGATTTCGGGAAATCTTACAGAGGGCTAAATTAGATCTAAAAAATGGATCTGTGCTGGAGATGACTCACTTTATCTTCACTCCAAGCAAAATGAGATTGAAATGTTAAAATGAGATTACCAGAGAATCTACTGTCTCCTCCGATTCCCACTGATCACAAATCTCAGGTTACGGTGGCTGCTATTTACCATGTGACTCACTGAGACCCTTGAATACCCTTTTTAAACATTCTGATTTTTACCGAAATGCCAATTCTCAATCAACAAATGACACCTTGAAGGTAAAATGGCACACGCATTACCTTGCATGTGTCTGTCTTTATTGCGTCACATAAAACATGAAACCACATTAAGCAGGAAAAAAACATGCTATGGGGTGTTAATGTATCAGCAGTGAACAAGAATGTACAACAAGATCACATAATTTACTCTAACAGAAATCTCTGATGGATAATTAACTTGAACACAGATTTAACACAATAATGAATCACAGCTTCACCTGAACTGAATCAGCACACATTTTATCCCAACGCTCTCAGTAACTGCCTCTATCTGCCTCTATTTAGAGGCACGATGACTTCACTGAAGTCTGCCCGCAGGAGGCTTCCCCTCTGTCGGCACTCGGCTCGCTATCCCAGACGCGAGGAGTGAGAAGCTTTCCAGACGGCATGACTGACACCTACTGGACTCCACTCCTGTTCCTGCTGAACTGAGCCAGTTTTCCATGAACACACTGATACCAGTTCAGTAGGCACTGGAGGTCGCAGCCCCCTTTTAGAAGTTGGGTCTTGTGTGGAACCTCAAGGAAAGGATCTGCATGCATTTTACACAGGAAATAAACTGAGTACAATTTAGGGAAGGAATGGTCCTCAGAAAATCCCAAAGGGTCATATGAGCAAGAGAACATACAGACCTGAGGAGACACTAACAGACCTGAACAGACATTAACAGATCTGAACAGATACAGGGTGATTGTGATGTATAAAGCTCACAAATTCCTTGTGGATTTTCAGTTCGGACCTTTAAATCAGTGTTTCCCAACCCGGTCCTTGGGGACCCACAGACGATCCACGTTTTCGCTCCTTGCCGGCTCCCTGACGGGAGCTGGGAGGCAAAAACGTGGACCGTCTGTGGGTCCCCAAGGATCAGGTTGGGAAACACTGTTGTAAACACAAACATGTGCTCCAACTCGCATGTGCACACAAAGTATCATGCAGCTGAAGGGAAGTCCAGTACTCACCACCTGGAACGCAGTGCGTGGGCACATAGCCGCTCATCGCAACCCACGCACCCTGAGAACCAGGTACCGGTGAAACGTAAGCTTGCAGGCCTCGACTGGCTCCACATTTCGCGGGCATTCCGGAGCTCCTGATTGGTTACCCACTGGAAGCTCGCTCTCTTTCGTGTGGACGTGGCTAAATTTCATTGGTTCACTTAAGGCACTGAACTTAGCCACTGTGAACAAAATATCTGAAGGATCAATGCTCACCAACTAGCTAAGTTCTGAGCCTATAGGAAGTGATGTCCTGTCATTTTGTTGTTCCCATTGGATGTCCATGGTCTGATTAAGAACTGCTGTAATACGCCAATCAAACATGCTATATAAACACAGAGGGATACTGTAATTCTAAAGCATGTGTTTTGACAGGGAGATAAGTATTAGTTAGGTGGGTTAGAAATCTCTTAGAGGTATTAGTTAAGGGGGTTAAAATTCAAAGTTAAATGACATTTCGCTGCTCTGTGCAATGACAATAAAGTTTCTTATCTGAATGTAATATGCTAAACTTTAAGAGTTACTTACTGCTGAGGGAGGTGGTAAGACTATTATTTATAAACATAACATATAATAAAGATAATGATGAAATAACACACAGCACACGCTAAAACGCCCGTCGCTCCACACGGCTAAGGCTTGAGTAATAAGGAGTCAGCACCTTCTGCAGACTGAGTCACGCTTCACTGATAATTCCTGGCATTTCAAACTTCCAGACAGACATCCGAGGCCAGAGAGATTTTCACAGGGGTGCATTCTGAGGACATTCGTTTTAATTAGAACCGATGCCTGAAGCGCTGTAACAGAGTGGAAATCCCTGGCAATGTGATTTTTGTTTGTGTTTTTGCACCAAATCACTGTGCCAGGAACCCTCCCTGTAGCAGTGGTCTGGTAGAGAGCTCGCCCCGGGGTCCGTGTGCTGCACAGCTGTGCTCCAGCTGTGACCCGCAGGCGCGCTGCCCTGCAGGGAGAGAAACCCAACTGGTCAGAGGTTCCCAGCCATTTCCATTCAAAGAAATCAGCAGTCAGTCTGAATGAACAAAGACAGACCCTGACACTGGATAGCTGTGCAAAAAAAGAAAAATAACGACAGTGACAACCATGGCTGACTGGACACATGACTCAGATGGGAAAACATTACATATTTATGCAAGCATTTCTCTTCGAGGTGCTTGATAAACGTCACACTGAGATCATCTGCAGCAGTGTGAAGTGCTGAAAGTCGAATCTGTGAGGACTTGAAATTTGGGAACTGAAATAAGTGGAATACAAATTGGAAATTATATTAAAAAAAAAAGAATATTACAGGACAGAACATTTTACTTGTGCTTTTTAATGGAATTCTTTCAGAAGGAGAGGATTACATTATGCTTGGGAAAGTTTTCAGTGCAGTTACTGTAAGTATTCGCGTCAGCTTCAACACAAGAAGCCACTGAAATGTCCTGGGCTCCATACGTAAACATGAGGAATTCAACATGCTCTTCCACTCTCAAACAGCAGAGACAGACAGTCTGGAACGACCATTGCCGTTATCCTGCTGTACTTTACAGCCAAATTCCTGAGTCCCTTCTATGGCAACTACTAACAGTACAACTCAGCACGGCTCGATGCATGACAGCTCAAAGACGCAACCTGATGTACTTCTGACACAAAAATGGGTGTGATGCTTACAGACACGATTTTAAAGCTGGAATGAAGATCCAACAATGCTTACTAATCTGGACACATCCTTGAGACCTCGTTTAACACAAGCTGATCACAATATCTATAATAATTAAAAACTGAGAAATGTCTCCTAGATAACGATAACAATCATAAACGATATCTGAAATGTAACAAAAAAATAGAATAAATAAGATTTATATATATTTACAGATATAGCCCAGGATTTCCTGCTGTGTAGCTTTTGCCGTGACTTTCATTAGTAAAACTCCTAGCGACACTTTAGTTTTAGGGTCTGAGGAAGTCGCTGCTGTGAAGCAGCCCCCGGCACTTTGAGAAGTTCACGGCACCAGCTGAAACAAAGGTCTCTCTTAACTGGGAGGCCCAGCCCCTGGCAGAGGCACAATGCCTCCGACACCTCCCTCTGCCCCTCAATCTGCAGCCTCTTGTTCTCTGATCAGATCCCAGTCAAACACAGTGAGCGTCTATTTAACCACAGGCCCAGCCATGGGTAGCGTCCAGCGAATTCCTCTCATACCAGTACGTTTATATTAGCTGTGGTTCGCGCTGCCAGTGTGCCGCCCTTCACCTGGCCGCCGCATGTAGCGACACATCCACGCGAAGCCCTGGAGCGAAGCGACGGCCGGCATAAGCACTCCGCTTTCCCACCGCGCGCTGAGGACCTGCCTGTCCCCAGCGGATAATTCTTTCATTCGTGACAACGCAGGAGACAATAGCACACAAATCCACGCATCATTTATATCTGTCCTGCTGTCCTCACCCTGTCAGGCCACAGCAAGTCAAAACTAAAGGAGTTTGAGTTCTTCAATGAGGAACAATTTAGTGCCCAGACCAACTGAAATCTCACTTTCTGGAGAAGACAATTCTCGTCATTCATACGCCTGGATATTTTCTAAAAGCATTCAGGATGAGCGCCACTTACACCTGAACTAACAGCCTTCAGTTTGGGAGACCTTAACAACCACACACCGCTGTCCCATGAGTCCTGGGCATGGGAGCCGGGGCACGGCGGCACCTCCTGGGCATGGGAGCCGGGGCACGGCGGCACCTCCTGGGCATGGGAGCCGGGGCACGGCGGCACCGCGTACTGGGCATGGGAGCCGGGGCACGGCGGCGCCGCGTACTGGGCATGGGAGCCGGGGCACGGCGGCACCTCCTGGGCATGGGAGCCGGGGCACGCCGGCACCTCCTGGGCATGGGAGCTAGAGAAAGCTGTTGTAACAAGACTGTTGTGACACAGATACCAGACTCAAAAAAAGCTGCCCGTGTGGCTGTAACACCTCTGCTTTGGGGAGACTGAAATCCCTCTTAGAACGTCAATGCGAAAGAAGCCATGTTCTCCATGGTCTCTGAAAACAGGGATAGTTTCAGTCATTCAGTGGGTGGAAGGGCTCGCTTATACTTTACTTGACGGGGCATAAATCTGGTGTCATGTTCATACTCATGTATTAATTAACCACAAAATAAGTTTTGGTTACATACTGATCTCATCTTAATTCATCATTAATGATCATAATGCATGTTCTATCCCAAGCAGTTACTATATCTGTTACAATATCTGTTCATTTTGTAAACCTGTTTGAACTACTGAAGGAACAAGCATCTTTTACCTCAAGTAGACTATATTTGTTCATGATTTGTACTTCAGTAGTAAATGAGATATTACTAAGTATTTGTGCCCCATCGAGTAAAATGCGACCCATTTGGCCAAAAACCATGTCGGCCAGTTCCCACAGCAGCCAGCGCAATGGGACTGACGTGCAGCCCTGGCATTTTAGGGCTGAGATAATCCACTTGCTGCCGTTCGGGTGGAACCACCTCCCACGTTACGTAATTAAGCCCAGAGGATCCTCCTGGCTTCCTGTGTGAAGTGTTAGCTATGGACGGCGCTGGGGGGGCACCTTCTGGAAGAGTCCCAGCAGCAGCTCACAGCCCAGCAGGGAGGCCACCTTGGGGGGGGGGGGGGTGACCTGAAGGTACCTGATCCTCGCATTTACACTGCAGCCGCGTCGCATAAAAAGCGGTTAGCGACGTTCGTTAGGTCTGCACCTCATTCTGCTGGAACACCCATTATGGCTGCAGATCCATGGAAATTACCTCCCTAGGGGCAATAAGGCTGGATTCCCATGGGTGTGAGCAGAAAGCAGGTTGGATTTTTGCAGAAAAGCTCAGTTTGAGGTGATCCACAGCTACCCGCTGTATTATCAGTGCCTAGCCAGAAGATGCAGTGACATTCATCGCTACCCGCTGTATTATCAGTGCCTAGCCAGAAGATGCAGTGACATTCATTGGATATTCAAAATATTCAAAATAACATGTACATGTTTGTATTACACATCAATTATACCTCAATTTCTCCATCCATCCAATACATGGTTATAGAGAACCTGGAGCCTATCCCAGGAATCAAAGGGCAAAAGGCTTGGGATACCCTGGACAAAATGTGTATTTTTAAGAATTAGAAGTGTGTAGAGCTGCCCATGATGGAGATGGACACCAGCCTTACTGAAGCCCACACAGCTCAGCAGGTGCCTATTGGTGGACAGTGTGTGGCTGTGGCTCAGTGGACTAAGGCCCTGTGTCTGTAATCAGAAGGTCGCTGGTTTGAGCCTGACCTCGGTACGTCTGTGGCTCCTGAAGCAAGGCCCTCAACCCCCCCCCCCCCCCCCCCCCCCCCCCCCGGGGTGCTGCTGTGGGTGGCTGCTCTTCGTGGTCGGTTTGCTCTCACCTACAGAAAGCAAGCTGGGGGGAGACATAAGGAGAATTTCCCCATGGGCATCAATGAAGTATCAGCTATTATTACTATTCAGCATGCCAAGGGAAATGCGACATATTACAGAACAGACTGGAAACTGTTCACCTCATGATTATAAATTTAAATCTTACATGTTTCTACAAATAGCTGGTGAGAGAGCTGGCTACATTTTTAAATGTTGATACTGCACTGCTATATTTAAGATAGAAAAATTATATTATTGAATGTATGTGGCGCAGTGGGCTAAACCTGTGTGCCTGTAATCACAAGGTTGCTGGTTCAAACCCAGCCTCAGCACCTCTGTGGGTCCTTGAGCAAGGCCCTTAACCCCCAGCTCCCTGGGTGCTGCTACGGGTGGCTGCCCTTCACAGACAGCTTACTCTACAAAGAGCAAGTTGAGGGAGGCGTAAAGACAATTTCCCCACGGGGATCAATGAAGTATAGATTATTATTATATACTGAAAAATGCATAATTACAGAAAACAAAGGGCTATTTCTACATGCACATAAAAAAACAACACTTCTCCGAGACATTTAAAAAATGTGAGAGTCCGGATCTCAGTGGATCTCCGGAGCTCATCTTCACAAGCATGCATCTATATCTGATGGGTAACATGACCCTCATTTACATTTCTGCAATGTTTCCTTCCCAGACGGTTCAAGAAAAAAAACAGGAGTATTTTTTTGACCTGTTGATCTCAGTTTAAAATCATCATCTGTCTGAACCAGGGAGGATAACATTAATATGAGAGCAGTAGTGCTTGATCCACTTATAGATGAGAGCAGTCTTTCTGATAGCTATACAACTGTCACCAGTCCAGGGGAGGACAGGGACATCTCAAGAGCAGGCACTTACAGACACATAGTATCAGAAAAAAGGGTAGAGCCCGGGTACAGGTTTGTTCCCCAAGGTACAAATAACATAATGTACCCCCAATGGTACAAAGATGTTCCTCAGAGTCTATTTCTGTATCTTAAATGGTACTTTTACCTATATCTAGGGTACAAAAGGCAGACCCTTCAGGGTACAGCCTCAATGACAAGTAATTGTACCCTCAAAGGTACAAATTGGTACTTCATTTTCTGACAGTGTAGACCCAAGCATTGCGGGTCAAAGAACGCTCAAAAAGGCAGAATCGCAACATCAACCTGGTGTTGGCATCAGTGCACAAAAACTACCAGAGATGAGGAAAGCACGAAGACATGGAATGTACCGTGGAGTGAAGAAACCACCCATTTCTGGCAGCGAATCGGCAACAAAGTATTCTTCTGTAACTGATGTCTCTAATTATATGAGACACATCTTTGTAGTTTCATTACTCGATTATTCATCTGCCTGTGAAATCTGACTCCCGAACATGTCAAAGTGAAGTAAGAATGTCTGTTTGACTTTGAACTGGTTTGGGGTTTCCATTACGTTACACACACTTCTATTCCCATTTAAGTGTTACATTACGTGCCCGTTCATTCCCAGTTTCGTTACTGCCTTTTTCCGTAACTCAGATTCTGTGTTCTCTCACAAACAGCCATGAAGGGGGTGATCTGGACTGAGAACAAACATACCTTCCAATCTATCCATCTATCTCTCTGTCTGTGTCTTCAGTGACTTGCAGAGCCTACAGATTTTATTTTCTGCACTCACATAAACTGGATCAGAAGTAATTCCAAATGAGTGTTATTTTTTCTAGTAAATGAAGTCTATGATCTCTGCTAGAAAAATGATTAAGTGGCCTTGGGATGAGGAAAAACATTGAATGGTGATGACCAAAATTAGACTTTTTAAAAAAAAAAATGGAATTCCCCTTTAAAGGCAGTTCAAATAACAGGGTAGATTCTATGAGACTGTCGCAGGTAAAACGATAACAAAGGGTAATGTGTCCCCCAGCCATTACAGTTTATTATAACTGCGTGTTTGTCTTTTTCTAATATGAGTGTGTTAATTAACCTATACTTTGGCAACTGTAAATGTAAAAATGCGGTGATCGGACATGGGGAAGGCGCTTAATAATCTGTAGCACGGAGCAGATCATTACTGCTTTACTACTGTAGTTGGCGTTTCACTCGCAAAGCGAACCCAGTGAAGATCCCAGCTGCTGTATACACTGTATTATCCCCCTCTACACTGGGTGGGACTGGAGACACACAAACACACAGAAAGAGAGAGGGAGCAAGAGAGACGTACGTACAAACACAGCAACTTACGTCACTGGCTTATGACCAGAGCCCAAATAAGAAACTATGGTCTGGCAAAGTTCGGGTCAAAAGGTTTCCATTTGCTTCGACGTTGTAACCCAACACCAAAAGGGAACGACTATCAAAACTTCATTTGAAAAACAGGCCTTCGGTACCACGCACAGATTTTGCAGGTGAAACCACTTTACTGTTGCTTTTGGAATTTAAGAGCCTCAGTAGAATGTTAACAGACAACTAGACCTATTAAAAAAACCAACAACTGCTGGAGCTATAATTCATTGGCGACTGGTTTTTCAGGAGTGCGCACTGAACTTTAATTCACACTCTGAGTAAGAAAAACACGTCCTGAGTGGAGGAGGCGGGGAAGCGCACGCGGGACTCACGCCGGAGGGGGCAGCGCACGCGGGACTCACGCCGGCCGCAGCTTTGCAGCTTAATTGCCGGCTCTTCCTCAAACTCTTTAAATATATTAACGAGTACGACTAATATAAAGAAAAAATATAGATTTGCCGGCTAGCCTGAGTCTAGTGAACTGAAAACCAACATAGCTATACAATATACATAGCTAGGATATATATATATATATATATATATATATATATATATATATATATATATATATATATATATATATATATATAAACAAACACACACTAATAATCAGCCGTATCACATGTATTTAGACTTGACTGAAGTATGACTTCCATATGAATTCAAATGTATTCAGGAGACCTATTTAAAAACTGCACAGTATTCCTATCTCCCTAGGCAATATAAGAGCAAACTGTCCGTTAATCTATGTTCCCTTTTTTGGTGCAGTATAGCGATCACTGATATTACAATGACTATGAATGAAAACATTTTTGAACAAAATATACATGATGAAATTACTAATAAATATGAGTAATGACAAGTTCATGCTTTGTTAATCTGCAAACTTAATTAAATTCAAATACGTGTAAAAGATCCAACCCTGATATTTATGGGAGCAAATTGTCTAAATACTACATTTTTGAAAATATGAATAACGAAGAAAACATACAAATCCTTGTTACACAGAACAAATATCTGCATTAATAAAGTTCGTGGCTATGTTTTTTTCTTATAAGCATATTAAATCTTTGATTTTACTTTACTGCATCCAAGTACAGTCATTTTCAGGCAAACTGTAATCGGCGCGTTTGTTACTTAAGACAAAGGACGGACTCGTGTTACTGGAGCAGCCTACCTGTTTCCCTCATGTTTCTGAACGTTTCGTTAGACAAATTCGCTGAAACAGTTTTTACATAGCTTTATCTATTTATTTCTTGCTTGCCTGAATCAATGCGTGTCGCTTTATGCTTTGACATGCATTCGTGTTGAAGAAATTACAAGCTCGATGATATATCGCTCTTGCTTGAAAGTTCTTTCCCTAAACAGGCTCGACCGTAAATAAATAAAAATAAGAATAAAATGACAGTACTCACCAAGCCTAGTGATCATCTGTACCTTAGCAGCGAAGAGTTCAGTTGAGAATATGCGGCTCTCGGGGTATCTGGAGTCAAGGAGTTAACTAGGGTGATTATGAAAGGAGTGGTGGAAAATGTGACATTTCAGATCCATCATTTCTATTTCTTGCCTTGTCTTGAGTTACTGAAGCGGCTCCTGCGTCCTGATGGGTGTTCTCCAGTCGTTCTTCCCCCCCTTTGCCTCAACTAGGAGAAAGTGGTCAGGTGTTGCGTTCACACACCCAGCTGTCCGCTCTCCGGAGTTCCCTGCTTCAACCTGATGAGTCACTCCGGCGGCCGGAGCACCTCGTCTAAACACTGCAGAACACAGAGGGAAAAAGAGGCAGAGAAGCAGAGGGACAAAAATAGCAGGGTTATTGTGGAGGGCATTTCAGCTGCTTGTCCCAAAGTAATCTGTTATCAATACTGAGCCCCGAATGTTTCCCGTCCTCTATTAAAATGCCTTGACTGCCACAATTATATTAGCCTCCAGCTAAAAGGGAATAGCTCTCGGAGACACGCTCCCTCTCTCTGCCTCTCACAGGCATGCACGCACGGACACATACTCCTCATGTCTCCGTCCTCCTGCACTTAGTTTTATCCCTTAAAGGGACAACACCTTTTTTCTCCCAAAGTTAAGCTTCGGCAGATTCCCTTGTTTTTTTGTCCCGCATTTAGGCAGCGATGACTCTGTTTGCAGCCGCCTTGTGATCTGCAGACTTTTGTAATTACCACAGAAAGACGATGCAGACGGCTGGCTCGTGCCGCAGAACCGTCTTTAAGCCATTATAAAAGCGACCCTGAACACCTATCCCACACTACCAAGTCTTGAATAACGTTGTTTACGAGTCCCACATAATATTTAATGAAAAACTCAACCATCACGTAGATGTCTTCGTAAAGCAATGAGTCTGAAAAATGTTAGCGTGGACGGCAAGTGACTGACAACAGAGAGAAATAGCACGGACTAAATTCTAAATAGTCGCTGGCATAATAGAACTGGAGTGGCGGAGTCAATGAAAAACAGGCAAATTTCAGTTTGAAACTAAACCTTCAGGTAGCCCTAAGCATCCCCCCTCCCCCCCGCGATCATTACCTGCTCTTTTAATTCTGCTGTCACTGGACCAAGATCGGCTATAAAACTTCAGTTATTCCTGGAGGATATGTATTTTTTTTTGCGATGAACTTTTTGTTACAACTTTGACACAGTAATGGGGAGGCAGGGGCGTGGACAGCAACAGTCTAAACACTGTGCAGGCACAGCAGAGTCAAAAACAAGGCAGTGACATAGAAATGAACGCAATGGCCTACAAAGGTGGCTCGGGATATATTTGGCAAAAGTGATACATATAAATACGGTACCAGTGTTCCTCAGTGGTGTCAGAGGAACAGACGTGACTCACAAAACAGTTTGGGTGTGCTGAAAGCAGTGAAATCACATGGACACTGCACTGCCTTCACTGTTTCTGAGAGAGTATGAGGCAGAAAGGGCACCATCACTGCTTAGTGAGTCTCCAGACACAGCAGTGTTCTCGCCACTTACACGCCACTTACACGCCACTGCACACCTTACACTTGGCCTACAGTATATCCTGCTTTTTATTGTTTTCAAAAAAACTTTGTTTTAAGCTACCCACCTGGATAAAGAAGGAATTGCAATTCAAACATCAGCCCTGCTATGGAAATGAAATACTTGGAATATAAGGAGGAGGGGCCCTCTTCCCTCACATGCCAAGGCTGGGGGTTTGAATCCCACCTCTGAATACTCCAGTTCCCTCCCGCAATCTGAAAACATGCAGCTAGAAGAGAGGAACGCAGGAAACCTACAGTAATGAACATAGGGTAACTACAACTGATAATCACACGGCAACACGGAAACGGTGCTGGACTGGCGATGCCACACTCGGTGGCCAGTTTATTAGGTACACCTGTTCGCTGCCACTAAATACATAGAACATGCAGCCAAGGTCAAGAGCTTCAGTTACCATTTGGCTGAGCATCAGAACAGTGAAGACACCTGATTGAACGTTACGTGATTGTTGGTGCCATTCATGCTGCTTCCAGCATCTTAGAAACGCCTTCCTGGGGTTTCCACGGTGTGCAGAGATTACAGAGACTGGTGCGACGGACAGGAAAAGCATCCACTCAACGGCATTATTGTAGGCCAAAACACCTTATTAAAAAGAGAGGTCTGAAGAGAATAATGGCCAGACACACTAAAATGTCAGGACTGGGAGCCATCCGGCCTTGTCCCATGTGACCTCTCCCTGATTGGTCAGCAGTTCTCGCTGGTCATCCTGCCTGGTGTCACCCTACTGCAGGGGTCTCCAACTCCGGTCCTGGAGAGCTACTATCCAGTAGGTTTTCTGTCCCACTTGGCTTCTGATGAGCCACACCTGCTCCTGGTATTTACCTGAGACCAGGTGTGGCTGATCAGAAGCCTGGTAGGATAGAAAACCTACTGGACGGTAGCTCTCCAGGACCGGAGTTGGAGACCCCTGCCCTACTGTGTTTCCCTACTGTGTTTCCCTGCTGTCTGGCCTGCTGTGTTTCCCTACTGTCAGGCCTGCTGTCTGCTGTAATGACCTTAGAGGTCAGCCGTCCAGACTCCTTATTTGTTGTGGTTTTGAAGCTGGCCAGCCTCAATAAACATTTATGTTATATTGTGGTTTCATGTTTTCTTTGTGTATCATTTATTTCAGTTACAGTTCCTTGTTTTGTTTCCTGTTTGTAGTATGTTCAGTTTTCCTTGATTTAGTTTCCCTTGTTTTGTTTGATGTTTTGAACCTTCTGTTTCTGTTAGTTGACCTCGCCTGCTCCTCGTTGCCCCTAGTTTGTAGCAGCCCACACCTGTCCCTTGTTAGCCCTTGTTATCTGTGTGTATATATGTACCTGTCCTTGCCTTGTTTCTTCAGTTGGTCATTGTGGCTGTTTCCGTGTGATTATCAGTTGTAGTTACCCTGTGTTCATTACTGTAGTTTTCCTGTGTTCCTCCCTTCCATTAGAATTGCTGTTCCCTGTGTCACTCCGAAGCCTTGGTTCCTGTTCTTTTTTGACCCCTCATGGTCCTCTTATTGGTCCTTGCTGTTTCATTAATCCAGCCCTGTGTGTGGAGAGCTGTCTCTCCTTTGTCATGCCCCGCAGTAACACCAAAGCTCACGGGGAAGGTACAAGTAACAGGCGTAAGGACTCCGGACAGCAGTGGAATGCAGAATATGCCGAATGGCTTCTCTCAACACACAAGACATCCACCATCAAACAATAGCAGAAGAGAGTCTGATATTGGGGGGGACACATCTTAATAATTCAAGTACAAAAGTCTATTTATCGGGGTGATGAATGCATACAAATTAAATTTTGGGGCGATTCACATGACTATTATAGGTTCCTATGCCGCTATCCTCGAAGCAGTTTGGCAGGTAATATCCTACCAGTACTAACTAGATGTACCTAATAGGGTGGCCAGAGTGTGTGTATACTGGCTATAATGTGTGAGCCCTGTGAAACAAGATGGTTGGATGGCTGAAATGTAAATGGCCTCAGCTCCGCATTATAGGTTAAAGGAGAAAAGGACGGCAAAAGCAGGACGACTCTGTGTGAGATAAAAGCTGTGCTGTCTTTCCGCTATCGGTTTGCCACACCTTTTCACCCATGCTGCTCTGCGGGGACCTGTGCTGCCTCGGTGATGAATATGCGGCATGATCCCTCCCCCCCTCCCCCCCTTTATTGTTTGTTTATCCACAGCGCTGGGCTCCAGCCTGGCCAATCAGAAGGGGGGGCTGACTCATGAGGGTGGCTTGTGCAGGCGGTAGGGATGCTGAGCATGCTACTGCGGCAGACAGGAAGGCCACACGCAGGGGCAGCGCCCCCCCGCCTGCGGTGATGGGGCACGCGACATGTGGCCCACACCCATCTGCATGGCCCCCACCCACATCCCCCAGAGCCACCTCCTTTTCTTCCCCCCCCCCTTTTCCAGCTTGTTCCAGTAAGACTCCTCTGTTCTGAGAAAATCAACAAGTTGTTGATAATATAAGAACCTGAATACATCTTGCAATAAACCTTAATTCCTCCTTTTGGTTTGTCTTTTGGATGCAGGTTTATCGTACTATCAGGTGCCACTGTGCTCCTCTCGCCCTGGAGGACCTTCCTGCTTCATCAGGAACATGCCAGTGAGCTCCGAAGCAATGCCCCATGACCTCATGCCACAGTGCTCTGTCTGCCCCGCTTATCCATCGCTTATTCATGGGTGTCCTGCTCCGCCACACGTGACTCGTTTACAACCTTCATTCTGCTCTGCTGTGCGCTGATCCTGCTGTTGATCGTCGCGTCAAATGAAGAAATGAATGAACACTGGAAGTGAGAGTCGCTCAGAGAAGTATCCCCCTTTAAAGGTGTTAAAGGGCCTTTATAAAGAATTCTTTCTCTTAACATTAAGCACATGGTTTGGCACCTCCAGATGAAAATTGTTCTTAACACAGAAGCCAAACGATGCTATTCACTGTCAGCCATGGGAAAAGAAAGCTAATGTAATCCTTTTGTTTGTAGGATTTGCAGTGCATTGTGTTATTAAAAGGCTGGTGCAGCCAGGGTGCCCCAGTAACGGGCAACACCCACGGCTGTCTGCTGTAAATTATACAGTCGTGTGATTTGGCAATGGTTCACTCTCACTGAAGAGGCTTACTAATGCTCAATAACATGAACCGCAAACAGAAGCATGATTTCTTAATATCCTGTGTGTAACCTCAGATAACGTAAGGTTGGGGACTGTCAGAAATCTTCAAATTTATACTTTTTTTCCCCCGTTAATCTACAGTGACGCATGTGGTCTTGCCCATCGGGTGTTTTGCGTTTGGCCCACTGTGGTATTGGATCCCGCTCCAGTTTAAACTGTAGAGAAAACGGAACATAGTCTTTTGAATGACGGGACTTAAGCCCATTCAATTTGAGCACAAATAGCCACAGGAAGAAACATCCAGGCTCTATTAGATTATCCCTTGAAGGCACTTCCTCATCTCAATTATCATATGTCTCCTGCATTGGCCTATAAAG